ATCACCATAGTTGTTGAATGGGTTAGATTTTTACCTTCAGATTAATGTTATTCTCATGGTGATTTCTTAAATAAAATGGGGAAAATAAATGTTGACTCTTCTGTATTTTAAGTCATACATCTATATATAGAGGAGGATTTAGCATAGTTTGATGTTCTATAAATGCCTTATATCCGGATGTATCATTCATATTTTGCTTCCACCATCAGCTAAAGACCAATTGGCTTTTGTTCTTTCATTTCTTGGAGTTGATCTTAATTCGTTTACAGTATTAATTCACATGTAACTGCTGGGTGCAGTCACTGGAGAAAAGAACAGCAATTGGAAGGAGGATCCCTGACCAAGTCTTATTCTCATGCATTGATAACATATGTCGAAGTTTCCATGATGTAATGGAATCATTGGCTCCCCTTTTATATGCCTCTGAAGATGTGCTTGATTTTCTGGCCGCACAAACAGAACTACTCCTCCATCTCATGAGATCTGCTAAGGGAAGCCTTTCAGCACCTGTTTGCACGCTAGTGTTAAGAACCTTGAGTTATGGCCTTAAGGTGCTGAGTGCCTTCAAGCCTTCAGTTACTGGGGTGAAAAAGACAAAGAAGCTTATATTAATGTCGGTTCTCTTGGCAGTAAGATTTGGTTCCCTCAACTCAGGTTTAAATGCGGTGGCAGATATGGGATCTCTGGATGGCACACCTGAGATTTCTAATGTATGCCTTGGGCTATTGCCCATCATCTCCGACTTTATTAGCACTTCTGAGTATTCTACCATCTCCCTGACTGCTGCGGACATAATACTGAGAAGATTTTTGACACCTAATACTTGGTTCCCCATCATACAGCAACACCTAAAATTGCAGCATGTTATTCTGAAGCTTCAAGATAAAAATTCTGTTGCATCAATTCCTATATTACTGAAGTTCTTTTTGACTATAGCACATGTTAGAGGAGGTGCTGAGATGCTTCTCAATGCTGGTTTTCTCTCTTCTCTTAGAGTGTTGTTTGCTGATTTATCAGATGGGAGGGATACCTCAGTTATTAATAATGAGAAAAATCCTTTGGACAAAACTGAAAAACCTCAACATATTTGGGGACTTGGCTTGGCTGTGGTCACAGCTATAATTCATTCTTTAGGAGACACTTCTGTGTGTGCTGAGATTGTGGAAAAAGTGATAGTGTTCTTTTTCTCAGAGAAAGCTCACCTGATTTCCTATTATCTCACTGCACCGGACTTTCCATCCAATGATCATGACAAGAAAAGACAGCGCATACAGAGGAGACAGACTTCTCTAAGTTCTCTCAAAGAAACAGAGAATACTCTCATGCTAATGTGTGTGCTAGCGAAACATTGGAGATCCTGGGTTAAGGCCATGAAGGACATGGATTCTCCTTTAAGAGAAATCAGTATTCATCTATTAGCTTTCATCAGCCGAGGAACCCAACGCTATGCAGAATCTTCCCATAAGACTGCCCCTCTCTTATCTCCGCCTGTTACAAAGGAGGAGGTTGATTGCTGTATGGAACCTTTGTTTGTCAATAGCAGAAATGGATGGTTTGCTCTCTCATGCCCTGGTTGTGCTGCCCAGCCAAGGTCCTCTTCTGAGTCGAGCACAACTGCTCTGACGGTCAAGGATCCAGTTACGGAAGTCTCTGCTACTCAAACATACTTCTCAGACTCTGTTGCCTTGCAGATCTATAAAATTGCATTTCTTCTTTTGAAATTTCTATGTCTACAAGCTGAGGGTGCTGCTAAGAGGGCAGAGGATGTGGGATTTGTTGATCTTGCTCATTTTCCTGAGCTTCCAATGCCTGAGATTTTACATGGCTTACAGGTGATGGTAGCATGTATATCTTTATGTAGAATTTCTAATATCTGAAGAGTTTAAGAGTAATTTACTCAAAGTAACACAATGTATTTGTCCTTTCTGATCTTTTTGGTGTTATGAGTGCAGGACCAAGCAATTGCTATTGTAACTGAGCTTTGTGAGGGGAAAAAATTGAAGCAAATTAGTCACAGAGTTCAGTACGTCTGTATATTACTACTTCAGATGATGGAGATGGCTTTGTATTTGGAACTTTGTGTTTTACAGATTTGTGGGATAAGACCTGTATTAGGTCGTGTGGAGGACTTCTCAAAAGAAGCTAAATTATTAATAAAAGGTGTTGATCCTTCTATATTCCTTATGATCATGCAATTAAAATTTTGAAGTTCATATAATAATTCTGGTCTTTTCTTTTGCAGCCACGGAGGGGCATGCTTTTTTAAAGTCATCTGTGAGATCCTTGAAGCAGGTAATGTCACTTGTCTACCCTGGATTGTTGTTAGAAAAGGAGTTATTATAAAACTCCTTTTGCATTAGTGCAGTAAGTCATCCACATTCTTCAAAGTGTAGTTAACATCTTACTTGCACAAAATGAGGAAGAAAATAAATGTGAATATGTAATATTATTCTGCTCATCAGTGCACCGAAATTTTCTTGGAGCCATTTTTTTTTTACTATTTCCAAACGTCTAGTGACTTAGAATGCCAAGTTATGGAGGTCGTCACGAGTTTAATTAGTTTTCACATTGATTGTCTGCATTTGACGGACAATCTCTAGTGCCCAGGCACATGATTATGGTTTGGTACTTGGATATGCCAGTACAGTGTACCTAATCCATGATTAAATTTCTAGATAGTAACAGTTGGAAGAGTAAGTTTACGATGCATGTACCAGTGAATCAGGTTCTTGGATTAGATTCATTTGATATGCTAGCCAGCAAGAACCACAACACCAAGAAGGTTGGATTGTGGGGAAACTGGTGATAACAGAACTGATTGTTCAACTTTCACAGCCAAGTGAAACACAAGCATAAGATTTTAATCAGTTTTATTTTTGTAGCATATAAAATTTTTTATGAAATTATTTGAAACTTTGCACATAATACAATTAGGAGGGATGGAATTTCTTTTAAGAGGTTATGAAAAATAAGGTCATGTGAAATTTCTAGTAATACGTTTTAAATTTCATCAACAGTGATATATTCTGAATGTATTTGTTGTAATCTCGGTGGAATTCTCACAAGTTTAATTTGATCATATAAGATTAAATATTTACCATTTTTAGTTAAAATATAAATGAGTTCACAAATAAATTTTACAGAACTTCTTGGTGTACTCCAAACGTAATCTTTAATAATTGCTTTTAACAGTTTCTATTATTTGCTATATGCCGACAAGAGGCATCTGACCGCCTTATAGCTGTCTGTAAAGAATACGGAGCATGACTACTCATGAAAAGACTTGCTCCAAACAGCTAAAATAACGAAACGGGCAATCAAGAGAGTAGGAAATCGACCAATTATTGAGCTTTTTTTTTTAACTTTAAAGCCAGGCTATTCAATATAGCCTGCAACTTCTTTTCGCCCCCTACGCAGCCGAATGATGTTTTTATCTCTTTAGCATCTTTGTCCCCGTACACGTCCATAATGGATTATTTGGTAGTATTTTGCATTTTCTAATGAATTCCGAAGGGATGTCACCAGTCCCATTGTCTCATTTAAATAAATTAATGAAAAAATAGTAATATTTAGAATCAATTACTTGGTGGAAGTACCTTGACTGTGCCACTTTTTGAAACAATAGTTTTATTATTTAGTAGTGAACCTCTGGCTTCAACTATTGTTGAGTTCTCTTTACCTCAAATGGGGCATCTTTAAAATGTAGGCACTTTTTGTTTTGAGGCCATGAAATAAAGCATTTTTTGTTGTTTTATTAATGGAAAATTATAGTATCTCTCCGATCTTTTCTTCTTTCCGCTAATTTGGATTTTGCTTTAGCACAGAACAAGAGTGCCGTGTGAGAAAAGAAAATCTACTCTTTAGTGCGTTAAATCCGCTGGGTTGAAAATTAACAAACTCCCAAGATCTTGTAAGCAAATAAAATCACTCCAGCGTATGCTTCTTTCTTGCTGGTTGATTTTTGCATTATTCTAAGTAATATTGTCTGCAAAAACTTCTCAGCTCTAAAAGAAATTCAGATAATATATATACATGTATATACATACATGTTTATCTAACGTTACCTTATTGGTAAAAACAGAAAAAAAGAAATGGATGATAAGCTGGTAAACGGGAAACTAGGCTTTTGAGATTCTCTACAGAGATGGGCTTGAGATAGGAGGGTGTTTTGAGTTAGCTTTAACATATTAATTATTTTTAAAAAAAATTATATTTATTATAAATATTTTATTAGTTGAGTGGACAAAGAAATTTATAAAATAAATTTATTTCTAACAACTTAATAAATATTTTATTTTTATGTTACTAAACAGTTTCTAAAAGTTGCTTATGAGCATGAAATTTAATATTCCAAATATCCTTCAAACAGACTTGTGTGAGCTCAATTGGACTCCAATAATAAGGATAAAAATTTCTCAGTTAAATGGTAAATGTAATGTTACTTTTCTCACTTGTATTTAGATTTTTAAAGAGAAAATTTTGTTATCCGCCTATTACTTTATCTTAAAAAAAAGTTGACTTCAATATTGTTCTTAGCTGGAAATTTTTACTGTAGTATATTAATGCTTAACATGAATAATGATTTTTTTTTAGAAAATTATAATTCAAGGGTTAAAATACTGATTTGACAGTAATGCCATAAATTTAACACCAACGGTAATACTAAAATTTATCCCCAAGATAGTCGTACTTGACCTCATTAACTGGCATCAGTTTTTCGACAGTTTCTTCTTACTCTTGTGGAAAAACGGCGTCGTTTCAGTATTTCCCGGTGAGCCCCAAATAAGACAAAAGCATATGCTAGTGTCGACTGATAACCGATATCAGAACTGGTGCCATCACAGCCTCGGATCCCCACAAATCTTAACCCTGGTCAAGCGTAACCCAACCGCGGTTTCTCTCAACCATACTGGAGATTTCTCCACCCGTCCTCAATCGACGGCCACGATCCTCCTCTCCCTCAGATATTCACCGCTTCCTCCGCTATATAAACTCCCCCCACGCTTCCCAAAACCCTAACAACAACAACAACACCAACACCAGCAGCAGGAGAAACGGTAGGACAACTCATTTCTCCTCAAATCTCAGTTCACGGTCTGCAACCATGGTTAACCCTAAGGTCTTTTTCGATCTCACCATCGGCGGTGTGCCTGCTGGACGCGTCGTGATGGAGCTCTTCGCCGATACCACGCCGAGAACCGCGGAGAACTTCCGTGCTCTCTGCACTGGCGAGAAGGGCGTCGGCCGCTCGGGCAAGCCCCTCCACTACAAGGGTTCGACCTTCCACCGCGTGATCCCCGGATTCATGTGCCAGGGCGGTGACTTCACCGCTGGAAATGGCACCGGAGGCGAGTCGATTTACGGCGCAAAGTTCGCTGACGAGAACTTCGTCAAGAAGCACACCGGTCCCGGTATCCTTTCCATGGCCAACGCCGGACCTGGCACTAACGGATCCCAGTTCTTCATCTGCGTGGCGAAGACGGAGTGGCTCGATGGGAAGCACGTCGTGTTCGGCCAAGTTGTTGAGGGCATGGACGTGATCAAGTCTGCGGAGAAGGTCGGTTCCTCTTCCGGAAGGACTTCGAAGCCCGTTGTCGTAGCCGATTGCGGTCAACTTTCTTAGATAGTAATGGGGGATCTGGAGTCACTTCGTTGACGATCGATCTATATCATTAAGGAGTCGCTACATTTCTTAGGGGTTGAAATTTCGTTTTCCGATTACCAGTCCTTTGTTTATGTCCTGTCATTTTCCCTTTCTTTTTTTTCTCAGAGGTGGATTGATAAAGGTGACTGGCTTTTCGTGGGGGGGTCGGGTCTAGTGGTTCTTGAGATCTTCATGTGTTCCTAATGAACTGCCATTAATAAGATAGGTTTACTTTTATCGTGACTGCTTTTTCTTCGCTAACTCTCTGATTGGTATACAATTTGCTTGACCATCTTTCATAATCTCGATTAATGAGTATAAAAGAAGCTTTGTTCATGCTTGGGTGAATTGTGATTCAGTGAATTTGGCAGGCATTCGGAAGAAATAAACGATTTTTATCCGAAACACAAAATTTATGCATGAGTATGAGTGAAATCAACAATTGTGGGCTCCGAGAATAAGAAGGGTAGGGCAAAAACCGGCATATACTTAAATGCCATGCTCTTATGCTTGTGGTGGATAAGGCCATTGCAGTGTGATGTGGCTCAGATGTACTACTCTGTGGATAAAAAAGTTGTATTTTGATTTTTCCTTCTAAAAAAATTCTCTGTTTTGAAAATATCATGGTGGGTGATAGACTTGGCCCGCCTCCCGTTCGGGTTAGGGTTTCAGTTTGGTTCAGCCAACCTGGTCAACGAATGGGATTAAATCTGATTCGGTACATTGAACCTAGATATACTGGGTGAAGCTCCAGGTGGGGTTAACCTAAATGGTCTTGTCCGTGTCGTAATTATATGTAAATTAGAATTGAATTTTACATAAAAATATTTAATATGAGAATAAAATTTTAAAAAAAAGATCAGATGCACAACACTAATTAATTTAATTTCAAGGAATAAATCACATTTGTATAATTTCTAATTGTTTGTGGGCTCAAAAGGCCCATTTAGTCTTAAACCCAGTCTCTCCTACGAGCAAACCCAAATGAATCCAGTCTTCTATTTTAACAAATTTAAATCGCCTTCGTCGTTCTCCAACATGCATGAACACATAAATACTTACACACGTGTGTACACACACACACACACACATCTGTGTATGTATATATATATATATATCGTGTATACGTATTAAGATGATATTTTGTTCAAAAATCTTAAAATTAATGTGTAAAATTCAAACCATTTCAAATATAATTCGGAAAAGTGTAGGTTTAAATTTGAATGGAATTCGGATTGATGAGAAAAGTAAAGGTGGGTCAAGGCAGGTTTGTACGTAATCTTCTAAGATTTGTCTGAACCCAATTCGCTGTGCACCGATATATATATATATATATATATATAATTAGTAAAAATATTTTATTTGTATTATATTTATATCAACATAATAAAATGATCAAGTCCAAATATAACAACTCATAGTCCTTGTAATTTTTTTTAGTCTTGAATCCAAAAGTTGTTTAATTACCCGATAATTTTGCATATTTATATTACTTACTTTTTCCATATATATATATATATATAAACACATGATAAAAAATGAGTGATTGTCTCGTTTCTCGGTGCACCAAATATACCATACATTATATATAATAATGTAGACGCCTTTCATTTTACATCTTAATACAAGATGTGAATCCACTTGAGAAATGTGATTTCCATTTTTTTTTTTTTTTTTTTTTTGTGAAACGTCTTTCGATTATTAATTACACAAAACCTTTTCATTTACCTAATTAATGATTATAATCAATATTAAATAATTAAAACAAAAATCATGTATTTGCTCCATGCCCTTCTCGAACTTGCCCGCTCAATCATTAAATATTTATAATAAATTATTAAATTTTAATTTTTTATTAGATTATTAATTATATATTATAAGGAGAAAACTTGATCATGAATATACCCATTATAATAATTTATGTATAAGTTATTATAACACAGAGAGCTTGCTTATGAATAAACTCGTTAGGACTAGTAGTCCTCATTCATTGTCTTGCTCCCTTTTTTTTTTTTTTTTAATTATGAGCTTTCCTTTAACGGTTGCTTGTTATTTTTTTAGTAAAAAATATAATATAATTTATTATTAGAAAACTAGCTTTATACTTATATTTTGTGTATTTCATTGTATAAATTTAAAAAAAGTTATTTCGTTTTTTAATAAAAACAAAACTGCGGAAGTAGTGCATATTCTGCATTTGCTGGCTTCCAGCTTTTGTGTGACGTGAAGTTGCCGTTTTAAATTACCATTTTACCCTTCCCATCCATTATGTTGTCCCCACGTGCCGAACTCCCCCCACCGATAAATATAAATAAATTTGAAATTGTTTCGTTCAAAATTCTAAATTATTTGTGTGTATAAATCTTTATTCTAACTTCTTACGTTACAGCTCCCTCTCTCGAGGGTATTTCTGACATTCACTCAGACCTTCTTCTTTCTCAACTCTTGAACCATCCAAATCCACTCGGTAAAAAACAAAATCAGAAGCCAACGCGCAAAGTGCACCAAATTTTCCATCCGCGAAAACCGAAGCCCAAAAAGTCTGAACAGAGATCAACGGCGGGGAAGAAGCCGATTTCATTTTTGAAAAAATTGTGGTTTCGCACGTGATCACTGCCGCGGCCAGCCACGCGGAATTGGAATTTTCCGACAAAGCACCAACCCACTGAGTTGAGTCCTCATTTTGACGAGTACCGAGATCTCCTCTCTCTCTCTCTCTCTCTACAACTCTACAATTCGAAGAGACTCTCTAAACGTCGCCGTTGCTGGGACAACTAGTTGTCTTGTGCTATTCTTTTTGGCTATCGTTCTCGCGGAAATCCCGTCTCCTTTTGGCGGGAAAACTGTTGTCGCATTTAGAATAGGTGCTCCATAGTAAAAGAAAGTGCGACAGCAATGTTCATGTGATTGTAGGCGAACAAGAGAGTGGCCTGAGCTGGGATTCATACATGTGTAGGGAGTACATAAATATTCAGGGACAATTTATATGTGTGTAGTAAAGCACAGAAGGATAAAGTAGACGGGAAGCGAGGGATGGGATTATCGGAGAATTCCAAGGGCCTGATTTTGGCCGTAGCGTCAAGCGCGTTCATAGGATCGAGTTTCATTTTGAAGAAGAAAGGGCTCAAGCGAGCTGGTGCCACTGGTGCTCGAGCAGGTTAGTCCTATCTTTTGCGATTTTATTATTATTTTTTTTAATTCATCTTTTGAGGTTTTATTTCTTGATTTGGTTTTATTCTCCTTAATTTTTTATTCCTCGGTAAGATTTTAGACTAATCACTCGGATAACTCAAAGAAATGTGAATTTGAGAATTGTACTACCAGTTTTTGTTGCGTTTAACTGGATTTTGTTGCCGATTTTGCTGAATTCGGGCTGGAATTTTGAGTCTGATTCTGTTCGATTAGAAAGTATGTTGGAATATTTCTCAATTTTTAGTGGAGTAAGCAAAGATCCTTGAACCAAATAGTAGTTGCTATACTTAGATGATATTACAGAGTGCGACAGATTTTTAATGACTTTTGAGTTGAGAAATAGATATCCTTATGCAAAGATGAGGATCTTCAGGGATGAACTAAGCTTTTGTGAATTGCAGATACTGTGCTCATGAAAAATGGTAGGAAAAAGTTTATGCGACGTGTCATGTTGCGTTACAAAAAGGATTACTGATTTTGGTGGTTTTGTGTTGACTTTTGTTTGGCTGAATCTTGGTGAGCTCAGTAGAGGAATTTGGCAAAGGAGGGTAGAAGGAATTTGGCATCGAATCAAAGTATTGATAGCATGCCTTGTCCTTACAATTGTTTTCATTTTCTCTTCTTCTCCAACAGTCCGTTTGGTGGCTGGATCTATTTAATGTCTCTCCTGCTTAGGAAATTTAGTAGGGTATCATTTTGTTTACACAACAAATTCTTCATTGTTCTTTTCTGATGACTCATTATTTGAATCTTTTATTGTGATGCATGGCTTGAGTAGTAAAACACAAAACAAAAGTGTTTTCTCTGGTTCCTGAAGAGATTTTCATGACTAGATTCTCATGCTCGTTTTAATCTTTTTTTTTTTAGAAAAAAAGAGAAATCTGATGTTGGCCACTAGGTGGCAACTAGTTTTCTTCCCAACACCTTTTAGCAAAAAAAAAAAAAAAAGGATGACAAAAGATATCCTTCTTAAGAAATGAAAGGATCTTTCTGTCTAGTGTCTTTTTATTCTCAATTATTTGTCAAGTTAGTTGTCTAGCAAAAGAATTCATTGTTGAGTTAGAAAATATTTGTTGAGTTCATGTAATTGAAGTTTTTCTTTTTCGAATGAATTGTGTAGGAGTTGGAGGTTATACCTACTTACAAGAGCCACTTTGGTGGGCAGGCATGGTGACAAGTAAGTATAGCAATACCAATGCAAGTTCCTTCCCATTTGTACTTGTCCCATTCTCTTGGTCTTCTTGCTTCTTAACGAAAAGAAAAATTCTTGAGGACGTACATTACCAAATATTAATCCTCTCCTAATGTTTGAAAATATAGTGATTGTTGGGGAGGTGGCAAATTTTGTGGCTTATGTTTATGCTCCTGCTGTTCTTGTGACTCCACTTGGTGCATTGAGTATAATTATCAGGTAACTATAGATGTTTCCTTGGTTTATTTGTCACATATGGTAATTTCTTATCAACTAAGTCCAAAAAACATTTTCCCCTTTCCTCACTAACACATTTGATGAATCTGAGAAGTGCTGTTTTGGCACACTTCTTGTTGAAGGAAAAACTGCAGAAATTGGGAGTTGTGGGATGTGTCTCCTGTATTGTGGGATCAGTCGTGATTGTTATTCATGCACCTCAAGAACACACTCCAAATTCTATAGAAGAAATCTGGACTCTGGCAACTCAACCAGGTTCTGTCCCTCTATTCAAAATTTTTTTTTTTTGGTTAAATAATATTCTTTTTCTTTCGAATAATTGTTTAACTTTTTTCTTTTCTATTTTACGTACAGCCTTTCTAATCTATGTGGCAGCTACACTTTCTTTAGTTTTAGCTTTGATTTTGCACTTTGAACCTCGCTATGGCCAGACAAACGTATTGGTTTACTTGGGAATTTGTTCTTTAATGGGTTCAATAACAGTAAGTACATTTCCTCTTTGAGTACATGGTTATAATTCTTTCCATGGTTGCATGTTTATATTTTCTACTCTGCCATGTTATGTATTAGTCTCAAAATATTTCTTACGTGTTATCCAGGTTGTGAGCATAAAGGCGATTGGAATTGCAATAAAGCTTACGTTGGAGGGGATAAGCCAGATGGCTTATCCTCAGACTTGGTTTTTCATCACAGTTGCTGCAATATGTGTCATTACACAATTAAATTATCTGAACAAGGTGAGTTGGTGTTTGCCACTTCAGAAGATTTTTAGAATTTGGAAAACTAGCAATTTCATTCCTTCAGGTGATTCAGGAGAACATTAGTTGGATGAAGTCTTAACTTCCCATATCATTCCTTCAGGTGAACCAGGGAACATTAATTGGATGATGGCTTAGCATCTATAAAGCGAATAGATGAGCTTGACCAACATGTTATAGTCTTCTGGTCCCTACTTTAGGATCTTGTTCTTGTTATGGGATTAGTTGGTACATCAAGAGAGTCTAAGTTCTCCACACGTTAGAGAGACTACAAATTTTTCTGAAATTATTTTCTGCTAACCTCTTTATTCCTTATAGATTTAGTAGGATACGCAAGACTGGAACTATAACTATTTTCTTAAACCGGGAGCTGCCTATCCCTTAGGACAAGCAACTAAGACGAATTCAAGTGCAATGAACTGCTTATCCAAACTGCACACCTTTACTGACTAAAAGACAGAACAAAATACATAAACAAACTGCCTACTCTAACTGATTAAAAGAGACAACATAATACATAGATATAATATAATAAATTCAAACATAACAAACTAAACACTTCGTATTTAGCAGCCAAGCACTTAATTCTTTTTCTTTCTTCATCTGGTAGTCTTCGTCAAATGGCACCATGCCATGACACATAACATCTACTCAAATGAGTGATGAATATCATCTTGTTTCAACATACGGAGGATTCTTGTTTTTTGTTACTTAGGATATCTAGTGCTTGGTGGATGTGTGAAGATAGATAAGATCATGGTTCATTCTTTTGGGACAAATTTATAGGAATACTCCCATCTTTATTTTAATATTCCTCATAAATTATAAGTTTCAAACATTCTAAAGACTTTTAATCGTTAAAAGTGCAAATTGGATCTAAGTAGTCCTTCAAGCAGCTTTGCACCTGGCCATTTCTGCTTTTTCCTCACTGTGTCACTGTCACACAACGGGCTGACACATTTGATAAACTTAAGAGGCACTACATGCTTGGGTGGTTCTCTTTCAGTGTTCCAGTTGGTTTAACGACCATCATCGTAACTTTTTACGTCCTTATAGTGCATATAAGCCGAATATCATTTAGAGGAGTGGCATTGCCTTGTGGTCTAAGTTCATTATTTTCTTTGTTTCAGGCCTTGGATACTTTCAATGCTGCAATTGTTTCTCCTGTATATTATGTAATGTTTACAACCCTTACTATTGTTGCCAGTGTGATAATGTTTAAGGTAAATTATTTGATTCATCTTCTGGTTTCTTTTTTCATTTGGGATGATTTCCCTCTTCTGGGCAGTTAATACAAGGAACAGATTAATGCAAAACTTATGGCATTTGATGTTTTCTACAGGATTGGTCGGGCCAAAATGCAAGCAGTATAGCCTCTGAGATATGTGGATTCGTCACTGTCCTTTCAGGAACAATTATACTTCACGCAACAAGAGAACAAGAACAATCTTCTCAACA